AAGCACCCCAAGTAGCTCTTTTTTTTTTTTTTTTTCCAAGTAGCTCTTGATGCACTTGAGTCCGAGAACCTCTGAGCCGGGGGGAGCAGAGGAGACAGAGCAAGGCTGGTCACAGAGGCGGGGGGAAGCCAGAAGCGCAGAGATGGCCTCAAAATGATGGTGGCTTCCTAGGTCCAACCTCCTTCTCCTCCTGCCTCCACCCCATACCCCGCTCCCCCGCCCAAGGAAGAGGAAGTGGGGAAGCTACACTTGCTAGTGAGAGTGAATGGAGTCAGTGGCCATACGGGCTGGGTGTGCGGGGCTGTGGGTCCCTCCTCTGGCTCCTCAAGCTGTAAGGGGCAAGCTGTCCTTCCCAGCCTCAGGCGGCCTGCTGCCAAGCGTCACGGCACGGGCGGGCACTCAGTGTTGCCCGTCTCTTCCCTGGAGCTGGTCGGGAGTTGGGTCAGCTTCTCTCCCTCTCCCAGTGAGGAGACTGACGAAGTCTGTGCAGAAAAATGAGATGAGTGTGGTGGGAGGTGAGCTGAGCAGGCCTCACAATTTCCTTCAGTCCCAGCTACTTACCAGCTCTTGCTAGTTTAGGAAGCGGGAATGTTCTACGAGGTTTGCCCAGCTTCCCAGCTCACGCCACAGTTAACCAGCACACTTCTTGTTGGCTGTCTTGTCAGTGTTTCTTTCGCCTACACCTTTGTTAGGGATGCGTGGAGGAGAGATGAGTTCAGGCCCAGGATGAGGCACTGCTGGGCCCCTCCCGGGTCTACTCCCAAAACCATACCATCGTTTCTAATATCCAGCATGATGGCTCCCTAATTTCAGCCAAAAGACAATGACTGACAAGTGTGCATTGGGTTTCATAACAGGGTCACGAGTGACCATGAACAGAGCTGGGCCACTGGCCTGGTAGGAAGCGCCAGGCGGTGGTGAGATGGGCAGAGAGTGAGAGGTGAGAAGCAGAGAAGTGTTTGTAGCCAACCCTTCCAGGGAACAGGAGGAGGGGGGTTAGCAATGGAGGGCATGGGGGTCAAGGCCAAGGTGGGGAGGCAGGTGAGGGGAATTGCCAGCAAAGAGGAAGCACAGGGATGAACTTGGAAACACCCAGAGCACAAGGGGAAGTGGGTAGCTTTGGTTAGAGGGTGACCCCTTCCAGTCTAATGGTAGGACAAGAAAAGTCCCCTTGCACAGACAAATTTGGGGAAGAAAGTTGCAGGAGTTGCTGTCTGATGGGTATTTTCTCTGTGAAACTGGGGGTGTGCTTTCCTGGGCTACGAGTGAGCCAGAGGTTTAAGGAGCAAGGAGTTTGAAGGAAATCTTGGACAGGGTACCAGGCAGGTAGTCCCAGGCATGAGAGGCACAGGGAAGGGTAGCAGCTGGACTGACCCCAGCTTGGGGGTGCGGTGGGAGGGCAGGAGGGCACGGGGGTTCAGGTGAGAATGATGGAGTCTGGCACCAGGGGGCCACTGGGGAAGCTTGTAGGGCCATAGGTGGGGGAGCTCGGGGAGCAGGGTGAGAGCTAGAAGCTTCAGCCAAGCCAGGGGATGGGTGTGGGCAGAAAAGGGCAGGGCACAGGCCTGGAGGTGCCCTGGTGCTGCGTGCCTGCGTGCGTGTGTGTGTGTGTGCGCACGCGTGTGTAGGGGCTGCTGAGGGCTAGTCCCGCTGTGTTACCGGGCAGTCTGGCTTCCCCTGCACAGTGGCCATTGGCTTCTGTGGCTCGGGAGGCCCGCGTGGGCAGCTGACACGGGAGGATGCTCTCGGGCCTTGCCAGGTGCCAGGCCACAGCAGCCACCCTGTGGCGACGTTGGGGAGGGTGGGTGACGTGCGGTCTCCTGACACCAGGAGCCCCTCGTCCGCCCGCCACGGCCTGGCCTGGGTGCAGCGGAGGCGGCTGCATGCTCCCGGCCGGGGTCTCCTGGGACACCAGGGCTCACGCCCACCGGCACACCCGGGAAAGCAGCCACCAGACGCCGTGCAGGGCTGCTGACGCCCGGGCTCTCGAGCGCTTCATTGATCCCCTTGACGATGGCGGGTCATTAAAAACAAAAACAAGGAAAATCTTCCCAGATCCCTGGCTCAGCCTCCATCTCTTCCTGTTCTTTGCTCCCCGCTGGATGGGTTAACATTCCCCCGGTGGGAAAAGTTGCACCAACAGATTAGCTTTTTTTTTTTTTTTTTTAAGATTTTATTTGAGAGATGAAGCAGGAGCAGAGGGAGGGGCAGAGGAGAGGGCGACCCCCCACTCAGCGGGGAGCTGGACCCGGGGTCAGAGCTCCCACCTAAGCGAGCCACCCAGCCGCCCCCAGATCAGTACTTTTCAAGGTGTTCAAGGAGCCTTAGCCCTGAAGATGTTTCTAGGACGAGTGCTGAAAATAGCGCCGGAAAATCTTGCATTTACAACCCCCTCTCTTGGAGATTCACAAACGGCACTCACATGCAAAAAGATCTGAAAAGTTTCGCAGGAGAAAAAAGAAACTTTAATTTCGTTTTAACTTTGTAAGCCACGGAGTTCCAGCCCCCCCAACACACTCCTCGTCATCACTCAGAGCTAATATTCTGTGCAATTTTGACATTCGCTAAAGAAACCACCTTGCAGGAAGTAGACTGTTTCTACGGACCCCTGCACACTCGACCAGTGCGCTTGTTGGGGATTACACGGACCCCCGGTTAGCTAGCTGGCATGTCCAAAATTGGTGTCATTTAAATAGCTCTCTCTTGAAGACTTTAAGCCCGTCAAAGAGTGAGAATAATCCATGGCATGAATAGAAGCATTTTACATCTGTGAGAAAACCCACAGCCCGAGAGTCAAGTTAACTCACACCCACAGAGTGTACTGGACATGCTGCAGACAAGCATTCTCGGGGCCAGACGCAGCCTTATAAGGTGGCCTGACATTTTCTCATGGCCCAGGCCACCCTCCAAAAATATCCGGAGACAGAAGAGTGGGAACTGACCTCCCCGAACCTTTCAAAGATTAACAAGCGGGCTCTCCATTAAACAGGAGCACTAACACCTGCTTCCGGAGCAGCTCCAAAAGCCCTGCAGGGTCGCTGCCGGGGAAGGTTCTGCAGCGGGAAGAGAACAAATGGATGGAGCCTCGAAACACACAAAGAAGCGGGTTTCTTGGTTTAAAAAAAAAAAAGTGTAATTTCCTGGATCCCTCCAGAATATGCTTTAAAATCCGACTGCCTTTGCTTTATATGGACAATAGAGACCCGTGACTAATTTTTATGAGTGTGCCTTTGCCGTCCTGGGGCTGAAGCCGGTTCCAAATGTCTCATTTCCCAGGGCCCGATCGCTTGTGAGGTGCTGCCCCCCAGCGGGGCAGCCCAGCGCCAACTATGCAGAAAGGGAGTTTGGCCTTGAACCAGGTGCGGTATCTGGAGAGGCATCTGGCTGCATCCACGAAGGTCAAAGACTGATGGGAAAGCGCGGCTGTGCTTAAGAAGTCTATGCTCTGGAACTGGTGAGCAGAAAACACAACTCCCAAATATAAAGATTTTATGAAATGGGTACTCGGTGCTTATCTAGACAGCCTCTCTGATACTTTATTTTTGCTCATCGAAGGAGACTTTTCAGGGGTGAAATGCCATTTCTGGGGAAAAGAGATTATTTTTGGTAATGCGATCTGCCCCAGGAACGCTAAGGAGAAGCTTTCTAAGTTCCAAAGCAGAAAAGATTGAATCGTCTCTCACATTTGAGAGGAAGTGTTGGTCAAAGACCCATACAGCTCTCGTAATTCTGGTTCTCAGTCGCAGGCAGGGGAATGTTAATAGGTAGGGCTATTTTTGGTAAGAGTTGCTTAGAACAGTTTCTTCACTACTAAACTGTATGACAATGAGCCAGTCCATTTGTAAGGCTGTTTTTTTTTTTAAAATAATATGAGGAATTGCAAAGCTAGTCTTCATTCTTGTTAAAGGGAACAGAACAACACACAGCGGTATTTTTGGAACAGTGTGTGTAACAGGAGGTCTCTTAATTATACCAATGGTAATTTCTCAGGCCAGAGCTTATTATGTTAACATAGTACACATAATTGCCACAAAATATGACAATGACAGATTAGAAAGCCCTGGTTTCCCATTACCACCCTAGGATTGTCAAGGTTGCATTTTCTGGGTAGCCTCTACTATTAACTTAACCATCTGTTCCTCAGCTTTAGTTGAAATAATTATTTTCATAAATGAAATGCCTATCTCTGAGACACTAGACTGCATACGAGAGGACTGGTCCTACAACCACCGTGCTGGGAAGGTCTAGGCCATGTTCGGACAGCCGTGAAAAAGAAAATGTTCCCTCTGCAACAAGGGCCATGCTCTTGGGACCACAGTGATGGCCAGCTCGGAGAAGGACCTGGTAGGCTCGGCCGTGGGCATGCTACTGCTGCAGGCACATGAGAAAGAGATCACTTGGAGATGACCCCCTAGACGATGCCCAGCCCACAGGTGAGGGCTGCATTGAGGTGAGGAGGTCTGGGGTTTAGAGCCAGCAGGACGGAGGTGGCCCGGCGGGGTGTAGGCCCCCCACGGCCTACTGTGAACGTGAGAGTGCAGAAGGCATTTTCAGGAGGCACTTGACCACACCTTGCTTTGCTATAAGATGAGCATTGCCAGGCAACCTTATTTCCCATCTTAACTTCTATCAGAAAAACACACTGCCAAAAACCAAAACCAAAACAAACCACCCAACATTGTAAGGCAAGGATCCTCAATCGTTTCCCAGCTTTCTTAGGTTTCCTCATCACTTACGTGACTAATCCCTCTTGTCCCTCTGTGGCCAGGCTGAGAGGGCTTTGGGTAAGCTTGACGACTGACTGGCAGGAAGAAGGACTTGTTGGAAGCCTCTTAGTATAATCGTCTCCTTCTCCTTCAAGTGCACTGCGGACAGCAGAAACAGAGTTTAAACCTATCAAAGAAAGGACTGGAGTCCGTGACAAAACTGAAACTCTTCCATCGTCTTACAAACACCACGTTCAGGCCAACTTAACTGCGAAAAATCACTAGACTCACTGGTCAGTATTTCAAATCCAGGCAGAGCACACACCAGTTTATTTTGAAATGCAACACAGGTCAGTAGTTTATGAGTACAACTTATTACCACATTGACATTATCAGGTAAAAACAGCTTCCAAATGCATGCATAGAAAGTTAGCCATAGTCTTGGAACTCCTTATGTCTAAATATACAAAAAATACATTTAAATTATATAATTTTCATGAATCAAAGACTTATAAAATTACAATTTTGGTTTTCACAACATAGAAAAAATACAAAAATGACTATTATATGTGGCTGTATGATTTTTTTTTACCCAAATTTCAAAGGAGTAATAGGTACTGGTTTTGATGTTTTATATAGAAACTCAGAACTGAAAATAACTTGCAGGTCGTAGCACATCATTGCCGATCTTCTGTTATAAATGAATAACCCAAACAAACCAGTAGAGAGAAGGGCACAATCTGCATGTGCCTCTTTATCTCTACACGTCTTCTAAGCCCCTTTCTGTGACAAGTTTGCTCCCGAGGAACACATTCTGTCTCGAAGGACAGTGCTTTATTCCATGACTAACTCTCCACGGTGCCTTTGATGATGGTCAGTATGTGTTAAATGAGTGATCGCAACCTGAGCAAACGGAACCCAGCGAGATGCTGATTAGCAGCTTGTGTCTACAGAGCACTACTGCGCACCTCAAAGAATTCTCTCCTGGAAAATGGTCCCGGGGGGGGGGGGGCGGGGGGTGGGGAGTCTGAAACACTCAACCAGGTGGGTGGCGGGGCAGATGATACCTTTGACTACGTCCTGAAATGGAAACAGTCAGCCTAACAAAATAGCCACCGAACGCCACCTCGCACTTTGCAAGATGTGACCGTTGGTGGGGTTGTGTTCTCAATTCAGAAAAGACCACTAGCCCATCAAAGGAGGAATTAATTCAGGTTAGAGATAAAGAAACCAGTTACTGAGAGGGGGGGAATGAAGGACATGGCCCGGGCATACCTTACTTATCCGCCACCAGCCTTTTAAATGTTGATGGATCAAAATACACACTGGGGTGGAGACCCTTTCTCAGGAGGGAGTTGCTCGCTGTCTTCTTGCTGCCAAGGTTCAATCTGATGCAACACCACTGTTAGCGACAGACTGTTCTTCGTAACTAGTGACAGAGTCTAACAGAGAGGCCTGGATAAAACCCCCAATCCACTGATCCTGGAAAACCTACATTTTTCATCCCATCTTCTATGACTATTCCAGAAATGACTGAAAAAAATATCTTACCCAAACGAAGCAATAAGACTAATATAACTCAAATTGTTTCTATTTTACAGTAGAAATACATTTTGGAAAAAGAAAGAGAAAAACACATGAAAAATAATCTTTCCTCTATATTTAGTTTATGAAGTACAAGAACAGATTCTAATCTCAACATGCCCAAGTTAAGATTGCTGACTTGAAGCAGAATTTTAATGCTCAATTCAAAAATAATTTTATTATACATCTGCCTGCATTAAATTTGAGGCTCCATACTTTCTTCTCATTTTCATCTTAATTATCAGGCATCTATGAAAATAACATTTAAAAAATTAGTTTTCCATCATGACACTGTTATAACTATGTAGTATGCTAGTAAGATAGGCTTTTAAAATTTCAAGTATCAACCATTAGAAAAAAAAAAAAAAAAAGAAAAGAATCCACAAAGACTATCCTATGTTTAAAATCTAATGCAAATCTGAACTTGGGCTTTACATTTTCATTAACCCTTTCCTGAAGAGTCTTAAATGCACAGTTGAGCAATTAAATGGTATGAAGACACGGTGGTAATTAGACATGTCTATGTGACCAAAGTATTTCTTGGCTGCTTGAACACATGGAGATGACACTGCATTTAGCTCATGTCTGCCCAACTGGAACACTTTGCTGCCTCTGGATTTACAGCTTGGTAGGAACTACATAGGACCATAAATCGGAAAAGTATCCCAACAGGAGAGTTGAATGAAATTGAAAAATAAAAGGGTGTAGAAACCTATTCCTGAACGTTCTTCAGGATTACATTTCTAAAGCGACACCTTCCATGTGCTTCCAATGACAGATTCTCTGCCCCTGATGTGACTAGCCTGGCTTTGGGTCCACGAGTGAGAACAGCTACTGGTCGGTACATTACTCGGAAGTGTTTTGAGGATGATACGGGGAAAGGCACGTGTCATTTGCTTGTGACTGAGCTTTCCCTTTGTGAGAACTGTCACCGTGTTAGAACGTGACTGAGGCTGAGCCCTCGATAGGATAGGTTCTCGACGATGTAGACACACTTAAGTTCAAGCATGTTTCTTAGTGGCAAGTAGACATGACTCAACTGAAAACAAACCACAGGGTTCTAGCTGTTTTCAGATTATGGGCACTACCCCTAGGCTTTGCAGACATGCACCTTACACAACTCATTCACTAGATAGGAGGGGGTAGGTCCCAGCCATAACCTCGTAACATTCCAGAGAACAAGGTTTGCTGCGTCAGAAATGCAGACTTTCCAGCATGCAGTCAAGCATTTGGAAGAGAGAATGCTGAACACACCGCAGTCTGAAACACAACCCTCCTGCACGCTGGGCCTTCAGCGGGCACGACTTCACTACTCAGACTGTAACTCTCGACTACTTGGTGTTACAGATCTTTATTTAGCAGATACATGAAGGAAACAGGAGGATGGAAAATGCCAAATCCCTTTCCAGTGCCATCATAAATATTGGGAACTTCAGGTTGAAAGAGCATGCTGAAATGGACCGGCCAGGATGTTGTATGTAACAGTTTCTGTTGTTGTTGTTACTGTGTGGTGGTGGCGGCTGTTGTTGTTTAATAAAATCCCAGGCCTGTATGACACTGGATTTTGGTTTTTGTTTTATTATTTTTTTAATATTTTAAAAATAGTTCTTACTTATTTTCTATGAAACGTACTGGGAACTCAAAAAGTCTGCAGCATTTTTTTGTCACTGAAAAGTTTGTGTTTTGGGGGTGCGCAGAAAGCAGGAGCTATTCAAATTTCTTGTGTTCTTCAGTGTGAGAAAGGACCTTTCTTCTCTGGTGTATCATGTGGAAGTATAACTGGGGAAAAACTGTAAGAAAATAAAGAATTGGTTAAGACCACTTACAACTGCATGTTGTATTTAAAGCACATGGACTTGAGGTCCTCTTTGACTCTGCTTTCTCATCCAGTATCCAAAGCAGGGAACATGGTGGGCTTGGGGAACGGGAGGAGCAATGCAGAGACTTACCTTTTCCTGTTTTAGCCGAAGGGGAAGGGTGGTACAGACGGGAGGGACAGGCGGTACCGTCACTATGATTACCCATCAAGAGGCCACAGAGCTGCCAAATAACTCTCTACCCTCTCTCGGAGTGTCTTTACATTTATTCTCTGATTCTACAAGGAGGTGACTTCTAGTGATGGACTTATTCCTGTCTACAGAGGAGGAATGCAAGCCCCAGAGAGGGTAGGTGACTTGCTAGGGGGTTCACAGCAAATTCTTGACAAATCTTGACCAGGCCCTGGGCTCCTGACACTCAGTCTAGTCACCGAAGGGGATCTACCAAAAGTACTTCCTGAGAAAGGTTGTTCCCTGAGTGGGAAGACTGATGAAGGGGAAGAAGGCCACGACATTTCATGTGAACATGAAGAAGCCAAACGTGGATGTAGAAAGTCCTTAGGAAAAGTAAGCTAATATCTTAGGCACTAGAGATTCTGCTCTTGGTCATTTCTTTTCTTAAATATTTTATTTTATAGGTTTTTATTTATTAGAGAGGGAGGGAAGGAGGGAGTGAGGGAGGGGCGAGAGAGAGAGAGAGAGAGAGAGAGAGGGAGAGGGAGAGGGAGAGAGGGAGGGAAGGAAAGAGAGAGGAGGGAGAGGGAGAGAGGGAGAGAGAGGGAGGGAGGGAGAGGGGGAGAGGGGGAGAGGGAGAGAGGGAGGGAGGGAGGGAGGGAGAGGGGGAGAGGGGGAGAGGGGGAGAGGGAGAGAGAGAAAGCGAGCAAGCACACCATCAGGCGGAGTGGCAGGCAGAGGAAGAAGCAGGCTCTCTGCTGATGCGGATCCTGAGATCATGACCTGAGCTGAAGGTGGATGCTTAACCAACTGAGTGACCCATTTATTTGAGCGAGAGCGAGAGAGAGACAGCAAAAGCAGGGGGGAGTGGCATAGGGAGAAGGAAAAACAGGCTCCCCACTGAGCCAGTAGCCCCATGTGGGGGCTCAATCCCACATGGACCCTGAGATCATGACCTGAGCTGAAGGCAGATGCATAACCAACTGAACCACGCCAGGTGCCCCTATTTATTTGAGAGAGAGATAGAGAGAGCAAGCTCAGGCACAGGAAAGCTGGGGGAGGGGGGCATGAAGGGAGAGGGAGAGAGAATCTGAAGTAGGCCCTACACCAGCATGGAGCCCAAGAGCCGCTCCATCTCACAACTCTGAGATCATGACCTGAGTGGAAACCAAGAGTTGGATGCTTAACCAACTGAGTCCCCTGTTCTTGGTCATTTCACAGATTATTTTAAAGAGTACTGGTTCTCAAATAAATGGGGTGGTTATCACCTCCCCGGGAGTATTTGGCAGTTGGGGGAGGGGACTATATTTGGAGGAGCGAGGGTACGGGCGTTTAGCATGTGAGGCGAAAATGCCCAAATCTGCAATGTGTGACAGTTCCCCAAACTATTAACTGCCCCATCCCGAATGTCCCCAGGATTCCTGCTGGGAAATGCCAGCTGAAGCTACCTGGCCTTCACAAGGTTATTGCGAACTGCGGGTTCAACAACATGGAACAGACTCCAGCCAGATGGCCTTAAATGTACAATATCCTTCCTTTCCTCCCTTCCCTTCTCAACAGCTCCAATCTCTATTTTGTAGGCAGTAACCTGTATTTCTGAGGAGGTAATTTCTACTACTTCCCTGACAGTTTCTTCTTCTTCTTCTTTTTTTCTTCTTCTTTTTTTAAAGTAGGCCGCACACGCAGTGTGGAGCTCAATGTGTAGCTCAGACTCACAACCCTGAGGATCAAGACTGGAGCCGAATCAAAGGTTGGACGCCTAACTGACCGAGCCACCCAGGCGCCCCGACAGTTTCTTCCTTTTTAAATGGGTTCCAAGTTGGCCAAATTTCAAATTCTCCCAAAGTACTCCAAGACATCAGTGGGTGTGTGCACACAGATCTGATAAACTGCAGAGGAGGCTCCGATGCTGAACAGGGCTGCCATCCACTCTACCCGCTATTTGCAGGCAGGAAGTTATTCAGAGAAAAGACCCAGCTTGTGCATATAATTCAACAGGGAGAGAACTATTCTGGTATGAAAGCCAGAAAATTTGACAAGCTCTATAATCTAAAAACTGGAAGTAAAGATATAATTAAACCATAAGGAATGCTAATTGCAATCATTTAAAAATGTGGGGCCAGTCATATTTCTATAGATAAACTTTAGTGAAGGAAAACTTTGTGGCAAAGTACACTAAGGACTTTTCCACTGGTTGCAGGGGTGGTTGAAGCTTCGCTGCTAGTTCAGAGGGTGTGAAGAAGGATGACCTAGAAGCCATTCACCAGGCCCTTGGTGGCAGTTAAAGCAAGATGGGAGAGCATCCTCATCCCCACAGGCAAGGGCCTATTGGCTACCAAGAGGACCAGAGGTCAGAAATGGAGGGCAGGGATGGCCCTTTTAATTCTTTACAACTTCAGAAGTTTCTCAGTGCCCAAGCAAAGGAATGTGTATGAGGGAGGCCAGGGGAATGGGGGTACTTGGGCTGGAGGTTCTCTACAGTTCTGGTAATGACCCCTTGGTGACCAGAGCTTGGGTGGCACTGTCTCCATCTGAATTGCCCACGTGTTTAGACTGGGCCCAACTATTATGGCTGGAACAATTCCAGATGCATGGCTACTGTTTTTAACCATGGACTACAATGAAGAAAAACCCCAAGACAATCTTGACCTGACAACACGCTATCCTCAATTCTACCCTCTGCTCTCCCAGTCCAGGACGCATGGAATGGAGATGGCCACTGTGCACGCGAGTGCTGCGGTAGGGGTGGGGGTTTCTCCAGGGAGAGGAAAACTTGGAGGCTGAGAGCAAATGGAAGTGCTCTGCCTGAGGCAAGTTTTTTCTCAGTTTCTTTAAAAATCTGAGGTGTGCTTATGATTACTGACAATCTAGAGAGTGCTCAGCATCTTAGTGTCCTCACCCGACGTCAGTGTTTCTCATTTTTCAGGTTTTTTTTTTTTTTTAATCCCCACCCCTACTGGGTGGTAAAAGCCTAGTTTTACCAATTTGGAAGCAGGAAATGTAGACAGGACTTAGATGTCTACTGAGTCCCATAGATACTATACATACTGCAGCTGCAGTGAAGTGGGAGAGGAGCACCTTGTAAAGGATTCCAAAGCATCCCAAAACAGGAAACTCTTGGGGCCATGGCTCATGGGCCACAATTTGGGCTACATGTGCAACAATGCAACAGTTGGGACCATAAAGAAAGGCTGTTACATTGTATAATACATGTATCTCACCAGCTTCCCGTTAAAGATGAAAAGAAACTTAAGTTGTGGAAAGAAAACCAAATTTGGTAAAGGAGACTGGATGTCAACAGCAACCCCTCTTAACTCTGCATTTTCTTCTTATAAATACAAAGTTTTGGAAAGTTGGAAATGTGCTGCTGGCTGGAGTGAACAGTACAAACTGGTCTCAATATTAACAACCTAAACAACTAAAAACATCCAGGGCCACTGGCTGAGGCTGAGGCTGAAAGCATAATGAGTACCAGTAGACACAAATGATTTGTAGCAGAAGATACGGTCTGGGCTATCATCTTGAGCCTGAGTGTGGGGTCAGGGATTTGGAGAAAATCTGTTCATCTTTATTTGATATCAACCCCTTTTCTTGGTCTACAAGAGTTAAAGTGTCTTAAGGAAGAACGAATATAGACTTGAACCAAGTGAAGTTCTTACCAAAAGGAGGCCGAGAACCAAAGAAGGGGAAGGAAGCCAACTTTGGTTGAGAACCCCCCCCCCCCCCCCGCTTTGTTTTCTCTTCTCTCTCACTCTGAAGGCCCAGAAAGAAAGTCCCACAGAACGGGGTTTGTTTTCCTTCAGGAATCCTATCACTAGGGAAGACTGCCGTGCCTGTCCTGGCCCCTTAACTAGACCAAGGTGGGGGGAGGCAGAGGCCAAAGACTGGGTGCTTGCTGGTTGGCCATCAGAGCACAAAAAACCTAGGAGGTACAGAGAGACTCAGGCTGTCCTGGAGAGCCGCCCCAGGAATGAAGACTTTCCTTCTCTGGCAGACTCTGAGCTCAGAGCAACTCTGAGGTAGGGGCCCCAGATTTCTGCCAATGTGGCAGCACCCTACTATTGGTTTGACTTTATTACACCCTCCCTGCTCCTCTTCCAGTTATCCAATCTGGCATCTACCTCTCATTCATTCAAACCTTAAGCTGATTTTATTTTATTTACTTATTTATTTAAAAAAATATTTTATTTATTTATTCATGAGACACACACACACACACAGAGAGAGAGAGAGAGAGAGAGAGAGAGAGAGACAGGAAGAGACACAGGCAGAGGGAGAAGCAGGCTCCATGCAGGGAGCCCAAGGTGGGACCTGATCCTGGGGCTTCAGGATCACGCCCCGAGCCGAAGGCAGGTGCTAAACCACCAAGCTATCCAGGGATCCCTTGATTTATTTTATTAAAGATTTTATTTGAGAGAGAGAGAGTATGCGCTCAAATGCGGGGGGACGGGGGCAGGCAGAGGGAGAGGGAGAAGCAGACTCCCTACAGGGAGCCCAACACGGGGCTTGATCCCAGGACCCTGGGATCATGGCCTGAGCCGAAAGCAGATGCTTAACTGACTGAGCCACTCAGGTGGCCCCTTATGCTGATTTTTAATAAATCCTGTGGTGCCCACTGGGATAATATGTGTTACTCTGGGTGTGGCAAAACTGCAACTGGGAATTGTTGCTCTAGAGAGTGGAAAAAGAAACTCTAAGGGGACAAAACAAAAAAGATGAACAACCGTAAGCTAATTTTTTATTAAATTTCTTGACTCTTCTCTATTGATGTTTTCTTTAGAAAGCAACTATCTTTTTCAATTTGAAGAGAAAGGGCCTTTGGCCATCATGGTTCCAGCACCAGAGAGGAGGACTTGATAATTAATAAGGAAGGGAAAATGAATCATTAAGCAGAACTGCTGTTCAAGAATTCCTCCAAGATAAACTCTCACATGAAATCTGGATGTAGTTTTTTTCTCACAATGCATGAAATGTGATTTTCCACAGAAGGACACAAACATGTCGCTTACGATTGTTCGGATGATTCATTCAGTTCACGCTGTGGGCTGGAGAAAAATCCAACCTTCCTATCTGAATTTAACCTGAGGTTTAGGGAAGAATATAGCATCTTATAGACCAAAATAAGATTCACAGTCACAATGGCTACAGAAATAGCTAAATGAGAAGAAACTTTAACTTCATATGTCTTCGGGTAGAACAAAATCCTTTTGGATATGTGAAAATCAATCCCAGGATTTTAAGTGAATATCAGAATTCGAATAAAGGACTAAACAACTCTTCCTCAGCAAACAGGACTCACTTCACAGAAGCCTCAGAAATGGCCATTTCTCCTTGTTACTGAGTACACTGATAGGCACTTTTGATTATCTGTATTTAAACCTTTAGCAGTACTATTAAAATAATTGGAAACTGTTCTGAAGAGAACATAATGTCCTGTTCGGATGATGTTAGTGCATATTTCTAAACAAGAAAATAAGAAATATAGAAAAAATCTATTTTTATTTTGTTATTTGTTTCTAGTTCACTATTGATACCTTAAAAATGAAGTAACTATTCTGATATAATGAAAATGCAAAAATATCTTTACAATGTTTCCCAAATATCATAATAAGCCATTCTCAAGAAACAGAAAAAGTCAAGGTAAGGTCTTTAATGGCCTTTTTTGTCTTGCACTCAGTGCGATCCCCCAATAGGTAGTTCACCTTTCCTAGTATTCACTGTTTCAAACCCACACACGGAGAAGGGCTGCATTGTGGCAGCTGTATTGAGAAGCGTTCATCTTTATTCGACTAGTACCAGAGAAAATCCCCTCTGCAGTCAGCACTCAATAAAAACCAAAGCATTCCCAATAAATTAGATTTACGTTTACTTGGATATTGTATAAAAACATCTAGAAACATTTGACTCTAGTTATTGTAGAGCCAATTTTAAAAACATAAATAAATATATGCGTTAATTGTTTACTTACTTGGAATGTAGGAGATCATTATCAGAATTAGGAATGCATAATAGTCAAAGGAGAAATTGTATTTGTTAGGTAAACTGATGGAGTACAGACCAGCCTGTCTGACAAAGGGCAAAGCGGCATAGATGGTGAGCAGTTCTCCAGACACTCCCATTGGGTACAGCACAATGAAAAGTGTGTACCTGAAATAAAACAAAATATTCATGACTGAGACTCCAAGACAGCGTTAATAAAAAGATACACCCCCCCCATCAGTACTTGTCTTTCAGGAAGCTATCGTTTCTACATTTTCCTACTTACCCACTGTTTGTTTCTTTCCTTTTAAGCCCAACGTGGGGGCTTGAACTCATAACCCTGAGATCAAGAGTCGTGTGCTCTACTGACTGAAGCCAGCCAGGTGCCGCTTCTTACCCACTATTTAAATTCAGGTTTTACAAGCCAGTTTTTGAAAAGGGCCTATAGCAGGTACATCTCTGAATGTTCTAAGATAAAATAAATGTGTTTGGTCTGCCTCAAAATTTGGCCCAACTAAATAAATAAATATGGTTTATAGAAGGGTCCTGCTCTGTGGCAGAGGTGGGAGTTGGGCTGGGGGCTTTGCAAGGAGTTGGTGAGGGAGGTGCTGGAGCATGTGTATAGGGATTCCTACACATTGTAGGGATTCATCCCTACAATGAACACCAAGTCTGGTCTGTGGACTGAAAAGAACCGGTGTGCTTATCTGCTACCATTAGTCCAATGTCTATACCTATTATTGTGAAAAATGAAACAGAGCTAATTTTAAAAACCTTCAAAAATTCCCAATAGCTTTTGGTCACTGTATAATTTTTCAATAATAATAATAAAAAAACTCCACAATCACTATTACCAAGGGAATCCACACAGTTTTTTTTTTTTTCACCTCAAAAAGTTCTCTAATGTTTCAAAAAGAATTCAGAGAGAAGTTCATCATATGGAACATGATGGAAATCATTCTGAGGTGTAAGTATTGCTAAAGAAACTATCAGCTAGCTCAGATTTTAAAGAGGCTCTGGCCCTTTGTGGCTGACAGTGAGCATTCTGGGCCCCAAACTTCCAGATGCACAAATCTGCTGAGAAATCGGTGACAAAGAACGGAAGCCATGTTTCTGTGTTCCTGGGCGCTGCCAACTTCAGCTCTGCTAAAGGGGATGGTGGACCGGGAAGATTCTTCCATTGGCCGTGGGCAACCACAGACAACCACGGACAAAAGAATCCTTCTCCACTGTGAAGATCAGGGCTTAGCCAGCCTACTCTCCGTGTAACAGGAGATGCTCCCACAATGCCTGCCCAGGTTGGCTAGCAACTGTCATCTCTTCCCATCCTTCCCCTTTCCTAATAAAACTGTGTACTGGAAAAAGAAAGTACAGAAAACTGTGTACTTGAAATGTTGGAAACAAGTGGTTTAGGTTTCTAATTTAGTCACCAGACTCCTATATTGTCTGGGCACCACCATTTTCCTTCTATGAAAAGGAGGCACTTTAGCCCCAACGACAATTTTGAGCCTTTTGCTTTGTCACTCTCACCACAGTCCTCTCCAATTCAGAAAACCATCTCATGAATTAGCTCAGATTAACAGATGCACTGTCAGCCTTTTACCCAATTCATAAGTAAGATTACTGGTAAAAATGATCAAAGCAAAATAAAATTGCTGACAAGATAAAACCACATGTAATGTTGGTTATTAATTAAAAATTAAGAATCATAGCTCTTTGGCAAAATGGAGATTAGGAGAACTGGACTTGATCCAAAAAACATAATGGCAGGGGCTCCTCAGCAAAATTTGACATGAACAAAAAGGGGGTGTTACATCAAATCTCTATTGAATAATTTAAATAATCGATCCAATAAAAATACTTATTTAAAACTAAAGTGTTTCTATTAATCAAACGTAAGCAGTGTCCCTTATCCTGATGAAATCCACAGACCAGTCTCAATCATCAATCCCAACTCCTGTCTCATACAATTAAAAAAAAAAAAAAAGAAAAAAAAAAAGAAGTACAGTTGACATCATACAGCTTTATTTTTAGGAGACTGGAGGCAATATTTAGCAATAAAGGACAAATACAGTGATGGATCATTTCAAAAACTCATCTTCATCCCATGTACTTTACCTGGCCCATTTGATGAGGTAAGGCAGATGGTTTAATAGGCTGAAAGTATAAAAGGAGTAACGGATAATTTCTGTGATGGTCCAGGCAATAACAAACAGGAGGACACTGTCTTCACTCTGTACCTGAAGGAAATGAAAAACAAAAGCAAAAGCAAACACATAAAACATTTTAACGAAGAAGCACTCCCCGTGCGCAGTGCCAGCCCCCCGCGCCCTTGCAGAGGTTGGGGGCGGGGGTGGCAGTAAGCAAGTGGCCACAGCACAGGATAGCTGGCCACATACAGGAACACGTGCCGACGACAACTGTGTAGAGCTAAGTGATTAGGGACAAGGGAGAAGAACTCAGCTTACTGAGGAGTAAGGGAGGCAGGAACAGGAATTACACAGATGAGTGAGTTTTGTCTGTGGGTCTCCTGTGGAGAATGTGGACTGATGTTGGTGGGAGCCAAGACTAGTTAGATAAGAAGATAGAAGGTGGAAAGCTTGGGGGTTTTGTCCATTGATAAGAACTTTAATTAAAAAAAAAAAGAATTTTAATTTGATTTGCATGACAACTAAGAACCTGAAAATTTCACAGAAAGGGAAGGTGGTGACTGAAACAGCTGAAGATGAGGCTAATTCCCTGGGTAGGACGAATTCAAGTGAGGGAAGAAGAGCCAGAGACTGCCTGAAAGGCAGGGCCCGTGTATGCCCTCCCACTCGTGACTTCTTCCCCCAGATGAAGCTTGGTTTAACTTAAAAATTAGAAATGCAGGACGCCCAGGTGGCTCAGTGGTTGAGTGTCTGCCTTTGGCTCAGGGCCTGATCCCGGATTCCCAGGATCAAGTCCCACATCGGGCTCCCTGCATGGAGCCTGCCTCTCCTCCCTCTGCCTGTGTCTCTGCCTCTTTTTCTGTGTCTCTCATGAATAAATAAATAAAATCTTTATTAAAAAAAATTAGAAATGCTTCCATGCTGACCACAGGAGGGGCAGAAAGCCAGAAGAGCTCTGGAATTTCCAAATTCCTCGGAATTGCTTTTACACTGCAAAAGCAAGGAACTTTAAGCCAGCCAGCCCCCTAGGTGGTTTTTAGGGGCCGATGCCTTGGACTGCAAATCTCACATGGACACGTACTTCTGTCACCCTGGCATTTCCTGGTGCCTCCGCCAGCCCCCTAGCCAGCTTTACGATGGTTCTGGTAGGCTTGAAGGCCAGTAACTAGAAACTACCTCACACTCAATCCACTCACGTTTTCTTGGATCCGAAACAGGTAGAGAGTTGGGTGTTGCTAAGAAATTCCACTGAGTGAACCGAGCAGATTTTGACAAGATGGATCTTCTCCATCTCATTCCTAACACCTAATACAAGAAAGGTGCAGCATTCTAACCTTAACTTTTCTTCTTTGCATTTGCAATGTGAACAGTTTTTAGCACTTATATTCTTCCTCAGAAAGTGTACATGGAGCGATCCACCTACACAATAAAGTAACTAGTCATTTACATATCTATTAACTAAATTGCTCTGACAAAGAATTTCATAAATGCATAGTTACTAATCCCTAAAAATAATAAGAATTTTACATTGTCAAGAGCAAGAGTACTTTTTGTTTTCCTGGTGCTCTTAGCCAAAGTGAAACCTAAACACCTCTGAAGCTTTCATGTTTTATTTTTCAGTCTGTCCCTAAATCCTTGCTTTAAAACCCATCTATACTAAAACATAATTTCAGAGCACATTTTGCTTTTTGATGTATTTTGTAATCCTCTTCATCTGAAGGAGGTATATTTTACAGCTATGAGATGAAGCCTTGCTTAAAGACCTCTGGGTTGCAATAGGAAGTTCGTCCAATATTTTGCATTCTAATCATCTTGAAAGCAGGGAATGTGTTTTATTCATCTTCTGAGTCCCAAAAGCACTTTGTGCTTTTCACAAGTAGGAGCTCAATAAATGTTTGTGGAGCAAACAAATTCAATTCTCATCAGGTCACTCCAAGACTAAGTTCCTGCTTTTGATACCCGATATTAGTTTCTGTGCAGTCTTAAGTAGCCTTCAGAAAGACATGTAAGAAACAAACACCCCCCTCAAACCTTACACTTTGATCCAGCGTAATCTGACTCGTTCCTCACTCCCCACCCCCAAGTTAGACTTGAACCAAAAGAACTCTAATAAGCTCAGACTCAGGCTGAATTTGTAAAAGCAGCTGCTCCCAGAGCCCAGCTGTGAAGACTATGTTATAATTTTAAAAAGACAGAGATGCCTGGGTGGCTCAGTGGTTGAATGTTTGCCTTTGGCTCAGGGCGTGATCCCGGGGTCCTGGGATCGTGTCCCCCATCAGACTCTGTGAAGAGCCTGCTTCTCCCTCTGCTATGTCTCTGCCTCTGTGTCTTTCATGAATAAGTAAATACAATCTTAAAAAAATTTTTTTTAAAAAGACAGAATAGGGGAAATGGCCATTTCACAGAAATGATATCTTTAGATCAATAGGAAATACAACAGTGTTATTAAGAAAGGACTTGGGAAGGGGTGCCTGGGTGGTTCAGTCAGTTAAGCACCAACTTTTGATTTCAGCTCAGGTATTTTTTTTAAAGTATTTATTTATTTATTCACGAGACACACACACACAGAGAGAGAGAGAGAGAGAGAGAGAGAGAGAGAGAGAGAGGCGGAGACACAGGCAGAGGGAGAAGCAGGCTCCATGCAGGGAGCCCGATGTGGGACTCGATCCTGGGTCTCCAGGATCATACCCTGGGCTGAAGGTGGCGCTAAACCACTGATCCACCCGGGCTGCCCCTCAGCTCAGGTCTTGATGTTAGGGTCATGAGTTCAAGTCCCATACTGGGTACCACATTGGGTGTGGAGCCTACTTAAATAAACGACAAAAACAAGGGACTTGGGTAAAGCTGGAGATCAAGCTTATTTGATTCGCAACTGTCCAATGACACAAAACAGGGGCAGAATGTAATGAGTTGAAGCTAGTAAGATCAATGTTCTCAAATGGATATGTGTACACCCGTCTTCATAAGAGCATTATTCACAATAGCCTGAAGGTGGAATCAGCCCAAATGCCCATCAGCAGTTCAATCCATAAACATAATGTGGTCTATACATGCAATGACATTAGTCTTAAAAAGTAAGGGAGTTCGGACACATGCTACAATCTGGGCGAACCTTGAACGCAGTTTGCTAAGTGAAATTAGCCAGTCACAAAAGGACAATGATCTCACACATATAGTACTCAGAACAGTCAGATTTAGGGAGACACACAGTAGAAGCAGAGGGTTGCAGGGGCTGGGGAGGGCGGCAGGAAATAGGGAATAAACGTTTAATGGGGGGTAGAGTTTTGGTTTGGGAAGATGAAAAATGTTCTGGAGAGAGATGGTGCTGATGATTATACAACCATGGCAATGTACTTACTGCACCTGAACATACACTTAAAAATGGTTAAAATGGTAAATTTTGTTACCACAACAAAAAAAAAAACCCAGTAAGATAAGATTTAACAAGGTTAACTATAAAGTTACCGCCACCACAACAAAAAACCAGAAACAAAAGTTACCACAACAAAAAACCCTGGTAAGATAAGATTTACCAAGGTTAACTGTGAAGTTATACATGATTCAGCTATAACAAAATGACTCCGTTATAGGATGAGGAAGACCTAGCTTATGAATCTAAGAGATGAGGAGTTTTTGATGAACCACAGCTTCATATGTGCCAACAGGGTGCAGGTGGTTGTTCAAATGACCGACCAAACAACCATGCAAGCAAGCAACCAGTATCTGTCCACATTGATAGTCTCATCCCAATGATTCCATTCCACATGGATGAGATCCCACCCAGGGATCAGAGTAGGTTGTAAGAACCCTTGAACTAGCAAAGCTTACTTTGGAAAAGGAGAGGGTTAACTACTTTAAAATATGCAAATGACATAAGACTAATGGCAGACTTAATAGGAGTAAAATACAGTTCAAAATAAGAACTGTACAAACCAGATGACTAATAAAACAGGCCCTGCGTGAGGCTGTGTGCTCCCAGACCCAGGACACAGCCAAACTGAGACTGCTCAGGACAAAGTCCTGTGAAGGGTGGAAGGCTGACTGGACAGGGCCGCTGAGGGCCTCCAGCTGCTGTTCTTTAGAGAAGGATGTGCACATAACCTGTACGTGGGAAAGGCATGAAACTCTGGCTAACACTAACTTCCTTGCATAAGTGGAAATTTTTTTAGTTGGAAAAAAAAAGAGCAGAGACTTTAAATAGTACTTCTTAAAAATAATGTTCCTTTATCAAAGAAGGTGAGAGAAGAGAGAGTAACTTAAAGACCTCCCTTCGTAACTGATTGCTGAGGGCATACTGTGGGGACAGCTCCCTGGCTTTATATTCCCTGTGAGGTCTTCAGGGTTCCAGGGCTCCTCCTCTCAGTTGGTTTTCTTCAGCCACTGACAGGTCTGCGCACAAGACAGGTGTGGAGTCTGTGCCCTTTAGCTTGAGTGATATACCTTCTATTTTCTTTATTTTTATTTTTGAAAGCAGGAGTTGAGAACATTTTTCTAGCAAGTGGGGAGCCTCCTTTCTATCAAGGGTCAGTGACTCAGAGAAAAAGGATCAACGAGGCTTTAAAAAAAAAAATCAAACAGCCAGTTTAGCTTTGGAGGGGTTAAGGTCTAGGATTATAAGTTCAACCCAGGGGCACCTGGGTGGCTCAGTCAGTTAAGCAAGTGTCTGCCTTCAGCTCAGGTCATGATCTCAGGGCCCTGGGGTCAGGCCTTTGCATCAGGTTCCCTGCTCAGTGGAGAATCTGCTCCCCTCTCTCCCCCTGCTCTTCCACCCCCCATGCATGAGTGCTCTTTCTCTCTCTCTCAAAAGGATAAATAAGATCTTAAAAAAAAAAAGTTCAATCCAGTTACTTTTTAAATCAGGAACAAGAAGCACATTATTAATTATCAAGAATAAGAGGCTTAATATGCCCGTACAAAGATATACTGGCAAAGGGACACATAACATTACCCAGAATGACTAAAAAGTAAAAACCACACAAATCTCCAGCAACTGGTAAGTGGATAAACAAAATGTGACATAATCCATACAATGGAATACTATTTGGCCACACAAAGGAAAGAAATACTGATACATGCTACAACACAGACGA